ACTTAGCTAGTAATTCTATGCATCTGAATTTCGATCTTAATTATAATTCGCTATTTAAAATTTTTACATTAACTTAAATTTAACACAATTCTTTTTACCCCTAATAAGATATCATGGTGATCTGCCAATTCTTTCACTGTCTCTGTAATGCTGTTACTGCTAAGTGAAAAGTTCTCTTTCCTTCAGATAGTAACTCAGTATCTTTCAGAGTATTTTTCTGAAATTCCAGTTTCTAGTTTTGTCCTTAAGTTTGTTCTTAATTTCTGGTGTTATAGCTTGTGTCTGATAATGTTATTTTATTTATCAATTTTGAATTCTCAAATGTTATTCAGTTAATGATAGGTATGCTTTTATCAGTATAATTATTATTAATAATATATTGTGTCACCTTTATGTCTAAAATTTACATCAAAGAGTGACTTTCAGTCTGGGGACAAGATGATAGAGTTGCATGCACAATTTGTTAAATCACAAAAATGCTACATAAATAAATGTTAACTCAAAGCATGTGTTTTAAACTAGATTTCTTATTCTAGATCATATAGCAAAGTATAATTTATAAATATATGAAATAATTTATATCTGATTTATAAAATGTTGATTCAGTATTTCTCAAAATATGAGAAAAATATTTCTTTAAACATTATTCATATTTCAGTATTTAAATTTTCGTTGATTTTTTAATCATCATTATGACTATGCAATGACCTTTAACTTTCATCTGTATTCCAAGTCTAAAGCAAATTTTATTTGAAAATTTATTAATAGGATCTATACTACTCTGGAGTTTCCACTCTGCTTTACTTTCCTTAATTACTAAGAGACAGTAATTTTTCACATTTCAAACTTGAGGATAAGTTAGTTTAACCTGTGAAAACTGGACAGCCTTTTGATTACTTTTTCTTAAATAGAATCAAACATTTTTAAACATAAATATAAACAATCTAACTTTTTATATGTTACAAATTTTCATTTCATGAGAATATAATTAAACTGAAGATGTGTTAAGTAATTTTCTTACTATTTTCAATTTTTGAAATGTCAAACAATCTGAGATTTGTATAAAAGTGCACAGAGACTTTACCAGGCCTGATATATAAGACATGCTATAAGAAAGTCCCAAAGCTTGAGTGATCACATGTGGTGCAGGGGTTTGAACTGGACCAGATGGCATGCAGTACAAGTGCCTTAACCCCTTTACTATCTCTCTGATCCCTAGAAGAATTTTAACTTTAGTTTTTCCACTCACCAGTAACTAAAAGATAAATTTTGGGTAGAAAAAAACAGGATTCATTTTTATCAGAGTTGCTTGCACCCTATCCTCCGTGGAGTAAAATCTTTGTACATGAATAGCATTTTAAGATTCAATATTTGGTTATATTCCCTTAACATGATGGACAGTATTGTAGTAAAATGATTCACTAATTTTTAAACAAAAAATTATGTTTCTATTTACTAATGCATTAGCTGTCTTAATTTATAATTAGAAATTTTGGCAGAATCACAATTATTTTTCAAATTATCCGTATAGCAAGCCTAATGGTATTTTTTCAGTGTTAATATTAAAATATTTATTCAGAGGTATTAAAATTTTAAGTAATGTTTAAATTCATCACAAGTCTAATCTATTTCTACATTATTATCTTTGCTATATATTTTGATAGCCACCCTATTTCTTGACTATTTATCACATAGAATATATTTATTTTATACTGTCATGGAGGAATGCTCAAAGCAAGAGTCTCAGCACATTTTTTTTTTTGTGAACCATCACAGTATTATTGAGATGAAATAAATCCAACTAAAAGAAGTTAACACAACATACTGAAGAAAATAAAAACTTATAATGTAAATATCTTATTAATTATTACTTTCTAACTTATTTTTTAAGTTCAAGATAATAAAATTACTGTATGTGCTCATTAGAAAAAGTAATCAAAGATAATACCATATGACCTTTGGAATTCATCATATAAAATGCAGTGCTATTACATTTTTATTTTTAAATGCCAAATATAAATCACAGTTTCAAGGCAAGAAACTTCTATAAAAATGCCATGACATCCTAAAACTTAGTTTTTCAGAATGTGACAAAAAATCTAAGAAATGCTAACTCATCCAAGACAAATACAAATGGTTTGCAGTATTCTCCACCAATACAGAAAACTCTCTGAGAATTTGCCTTATGGCCATATTCCATTTAAGTTCAGAAAGAATAATTTATTTTTTGTTCTTTTTCAGTGTTATTAATTATACTTTAATTTCTAAACCTTTCCTACCACATTGTATTGCCAGACTGAAAATACACATTGCAATCATAATAATTATTTTATATAACTGAAATATCTTTAAGAAATAAGATTAACTGATAGTTTGTATCAGTTTCTGGTATATGTTCGCCTCATTATCCATTGATAATAAACATGCCTGCAAATATTTTGATTGCTCAGTAAATTAAACTTGTATTATTTAAAAATTTTGTACAAGTTAGAGTATTCAA